CGCCCCGAGCAAGAGGCGGGCGCTGGGGGCGATGCGGAGGGGCGGCGGGAGGCCGACAGGCGGAGTGGCTGCGGAGGAGCTGGTGGGGTTCACTCCTACGCGGATTGTTCGGAATAACTTGTCTCCGAGAATGTCTCTGATTAACACACTTTTCTTTCCTCTCCTCCCCCCACCCCTCCCTTCACCACATCTTTCGTCTTGCTCCAGAGACCTAAAGGGCAAGGAAATAAAGGTGAGTTTGGTTATGTTTTTTTTTTTTTTTAAATCCTCAGAGGTTGCCTAGATGTTATTTTTAAACGGCGAGAGGTTTCTTGCTTGTTTTTTGCTCTTCTTCTTAAATATTAAATGTTAGGAAAACATCCATCGCAGCTGAGACAGCCAACATTTAGGTAGTTTCTGGGTTTGAAGCTACGTTTGTAGAAACCGAGGTACTGCAAGAATAAACAGCTGTCTTGGTTGTATTTCAATTAGCGTAATGGTATTTCTTTAGTTTTCTATTTTATCTTTGTTACATAACTTAGGTCACACAATTTTCTGCATTTGTGTATAGTTAAGTGCGTTTTTAAAGTGAACATTCTGTTTGAAATGTCTGGTTTACATTGAAATTCTCATGGCGTTCTATGTCACATTAATGAAAATCATACGGTTAATCACTGATTCCATAGAAGTTGCTTGCAAAGAGGCAACAACAGTACAGAACTCCTAACAGCAAATATGTAATCTTACTGTATAGCCCTGATTGCAAGGTGTGTCTCAATCTGGTATCTTACAAAAGCCCGAGAAGGAAATTATTTGTGCAGTTATTGCTAGTATTATATGATTTACTATTTAAAAACTACCACTAAAAGTAAGGCATTTAAAACATAGATGTAGCTTGTATTTATGCCTGTGGAACTAAGTAGTCAGCTGATTGAAACATTATGACATAAATCATGTGATATTAGTGTAGAACAATAACTCCTTTCTTGGGATGGTGCCAATTAAAGAACATTACAATGAACTATGTATTTATAACGTTTTGTAGTGCCGGAAATGACACTAAATACAATTATACTTCCTGTTTTTTACCCCCAGTAATCAAGTACTGCTTAGAAAATAAGATCTATAATAGCCCTTTAGGTGTAAGTTTCATGTTTCTATTGATGATTTTAATTTTTTTCCTTGGGTTTTTATGTTGCAATGCTGGTTAATTAGAAAATAATTGTGTTCTTCGCAAAATAATTTCCTTCATGTTGTGCTACATTTTATATAAGAATTTGTATATACCAGATGCATTGTAGTGTGTTAGGTAACAAGCTTACTGCTTTATTTTAATTAATGATGTTTTTTTTCAGCATATAAATATTTAGGAATTTTTAATTCATAGAATTTCAGTTATAATTATAAACTTCAGAATTAGAGGTTAATTTAAAATTAGTTATTAAACATTTGTAAATTTAAAAGGAATTTCTTTTTCTTTTTCGGCTTATCTGACCATCTGTGAAATCTATGGTCATTATTGCCTAGTGTAAACTATTTTATCCTAGAACTATGGGGAATGGCACTTTGCAAGGCTATTTGAAGTGCTAGGTGCTTTGTGTTACCTGTTTTAAGGTAAGTGACTTCCGTGAAGTTTTTTTATATATATATATATATATATAAATATAGACCATCTAGATTGGGTATTGTAAGCTTGTTCTATATTATCAAAGTTAGGTTTACTCAAGAATCACTTCATTTTGCCAAATGACTTCTTTGTTGTTATCACACTTATTTATAAATCACCTTACAGATAGAAGTTAGCCACAGACTGCATTACCTGGTGACTAAATTTTTTATATGACAATTTTTAATTATTAGTATCACTTCTGATTTAATATTTAGATACACATACAAATTGTGGTTTTGGGATAGTTCTTTTTTCTTCCAGTTTTTCTTTTACTCTTTTTGTTCAGTTTATAATTTTTTCTTAGGATGAGTCTGGGATTTCTTAAAGTCCTGGGTTCTAATACCACATAGAGCTACTGATTTACTAAGTTTGCTGAGCATATTGTACCTTTTTGTTAAAATTTCTCTTCTGTAAACAAAAAAAGCCAGTGACTATTTTTATTAGGATTATTGTAATTATAATAGCTTATTGCTCTAGTTACTATTTGTTGAATCATTTTTTATCCTCTTTTGAGGAGGAGAAGAAAAGCTACTGGTCCAAAAGTATTGGTATATTTAAAATCATGTAAGTTGATTTAAAATGATAGAAACCATAGTAAACTTATAAATACTTTACAGGCCAAGTCAGGGCGACTAGCAAGTGGCAGTAGGAGCTTTTGTGTGTTTGAGAAAAGCTGCCTTAGCTAACTTAATTTTAATTAGTGAAATTGTCTTATAGTCTGTACATCATTATCAAGCAGAAAGTATAACTTCTTCCTGCTTTACAACTGTAAAGATAGGGTTAGTAATTTTGAATTCAGAGCTTAAGAACTTTATGTTCCTAAGAAGTTGGTGTCAGTTAAAATTTTGAAACTAGTTGACTTAATATGATTTCTGAGATGCTGTGTTTCTTTTCTGAATTACCTTTAGCTGATGTTCTTAGCCTAACACCTGGCTTTAGAGTCTATTTTCCTGCAAAGTATTTTCAAGCATATCCTTAAGGCTTATTGTACTAAAGGAATAAAAAGGAGTTCTGTTCAGTCTATTTGGGAAGACAAAAAAGCTTCTGAAATATTTCTAATTTTTCGGTTTACTTATTTTTAGATTTTTATTTTCCTTTTTTTAACTAGTTTTTTTTTTCCTATATAAAATGTCAGAATTGCTTGTTATACTTGGCAAGATATTACCAAAGGATAGTTAAAATTTAAGGATAATTACTTGTTGGCTCATAATTTTCTTTATTAAGAAGAACTTTGCTTGCTGTGTCTTCATTTGTGTGTCAGATGTCCTCTTGGGCCTTCCTCCTTCCGTTCTTTTGTCCCATAAGTTTATATAAGTAAGCAACACGTGGAAATCGGTTTTCTTTCTCCTCCTCTTTTCTTCTGTAGGAGGGACATGTACACCATTTTATACAACTGCAGTTTAAAAGATTTAGGTTGAAGTTGGTTGTTTGAATGCTTCAGAAAAGTAGTGTATTTTGGCAATATTATGTTGTATCTCTTCTCTCTGTCCCCCCAAGAAATGATTTCAAAGCACCATACTATCATTATTTGGCTTCATATTATTAATCCTCACAACATTCCTGTAAGGAGATAGAGGGTATATGGTATTGTCGCTGTTTTTGTAGGTGGGAAAACATGATGCACACATCTGTTGACTTTCCTAACTTGATGTAGTCAGGACCAGAGCAGAGAATCACCTGGCTTCTAAGGCCCATGTTCTATCTTGATTTGACTTTGCTTCATAGGGCAGAGGAAACAGGAGAAGAATCATGTAAGTCATCTGTTCTTTTTTCCCCTGGAGAACTTTTACACAATATAGAAGTGGCTTAGATTTCATTAACTGTTCAGTGACTTTCAGTCTCCAAGACATTAGATTGCCCTTAAACAATGATCAAAAACAACAACAACAACAAAAAAACCCCAGTTATTTTAAGAAAAATACGCTTCTGAAATTAAAGAAACAGTCAATATCTTATTAGGAGCCTTTTAGTGAATACTTTTTTGATTATATAGCAGTATGGATTAGATAACCAAGAACTAATGGATGCAAGAGATACAAACGATTGTTTTAGATACTGGCTGATATGCATACCAGTTTAGTAGTCCAGAAATAGGAAACTTTTATTTATTTATTTATTTTTGTTCTTCAAGAAGTAAAAGATGGTGCATCGCCACTGTTGAGAAAGGAATAATCAAACCAGTGGGAAGCACAGGTGTAGCAGACTGTGGGACTGCAGTGGTTACCTCAGCCCTCAGATGGCATTGGGTATATTCTGTGGCACCCTCCTTTTTATTTTGTTAGTGGTGACAAACATTTTAATTCTGGGGCACATTTAGCTTAAGTCTAGCTCTAATGAAGACCTTATGACATACAGTTAAATCTTATAAGTGGAGTCAGGATCCATTTGATCTTTGGGTCATAGAGATCAGCTTTGAAGGCTTCATGTTCAGAGTAGCTTTATTTTTGAGCCATCTCTGATCATCACTGGATGGAAACAATGAAGGGATTTTACAGATCTTTGCTTATAAGCCACTGGCTCACTAACATTACATTTTAGGAGATGTACACTTAGGGCAAAATTAGAGTTGATGCTCTGGATAAAATTAACCCCACATTAGTTGGCACTACTTTGTGATATAGTTTTGAGCAGTAGTTCTAAGAGATTGATATCCCTCAGAAATTGCTTTTTTTTCCATTTCATGTTCCAATAATAAATATTGATACCATATCAGATATTATCCTAGTAACCTTTGTCTGTTTTTCTGGTTCAGAAAAATTTTAGTTTTATTTGGGGTGTTGCAGTATTCAGTATTAATAAAGATTATTCAGTATGGTCATTTAATACGAAGATGAAATGAAGTAGGCAGTGACTGAATAACCTGAATAGTCATCAGATTAGTGAGCTCAAATGGAGACCACCAGCCTCCTTGGTAGTAGACCTGAAATTGAATCCAGGAGGTGGCTTTATATGTACTCAGTCATATTTGGGGCAGTGTCCAAATATATTTTTTTCTTGACTACAGACATATTTTTTACAGTGTTTATGAAATAGCTTTTTAACTAGCGTGACGTTCTGATTTATCCTCTAATTTGTTTTCTCATGTGTTTCATGAGTAATTATCATCATCTTTGGTGTCTTAATTGTTTTACTTTCATGTGAAAGTCTTATTTATTGGTGTTTGGATTTGAACTCAAAGCCTCTCAGTGCATGTTAACTTCTTCACCAGTGAGGAGTTACCCTCAGTTAGCCTTTGGGAATCAAGGTATGTGCACACACATGTATTAGAGAATCAGTCTTACATATTTGAATTAGAGTACGTAAATAGCATACATGGGGCCTGGGTTGGCGCCCCCAGTACTGCCAAAAACCAAACCAAAACAACATAAGGCCATAGTCCACACTGGTTTTTAACCTTGTGATCCTTTTGCTTCTGCTTCTCAAATGTTGTGATAACCAGTATGTGGTATCAGGCTAGTCCTTTCTAGATTTTTCATAATCATGAATTTTAACCACTTTGACTTGCGAAATTTAAGTAATTACTGGAACTTTAGGTCATAAATAGTTACTAGAAGGCTGGGCCTGGTGCTGTATACATGCCTGTATGCCCATTGCTTCACAAGCTGAAGTGGGAGGATTGAGAATTCAAGGTTAGCCTGCGTAACATAGGAAGACCCAGTTTTGGTAAGAAAAAAAATTCTTACCTTTATCAGATTATTAGACTTTTACAAAGTTAGGTCACATGCTCAAATAATATTGTCTACATCATTACTTAAAGTTATTTTAAAGTCACACAAAATTTTAGGAAGCCCTTTCCAACATTTGTGTGTTTCTTTGTTCACTACAATGTTGAAATTGGGGTATTTAAGATTTTGGTCAGGGGGAGTGTATAGATCTGGCTTATATAATGTTGGACTTATGAATCACAGGATTTCTAAGTTTTCTGTGGCACACATTAAATATTTATTTCTAAAGGTTATCCTTAAGAGGCTTCTTAAAACAGCAAGGAATTCAGGATTATTTTTTGCGGAGTTGACTTGAAAAAATTTTAAAATGTTAGATTGTGCTATAAATTTTATAAGGATTACATTTCTAATACAAGTATGTTTTTTAGTTTCAGTACAAAATGGTTCGATTCATCAAAAAGATGCTGTAAATGATGATGATTTTGAGCCATACTTAAGTAGCCAGACAAATCAGGTAAGTTTTTTGTAGATTAAGATTTTAAGAAGTTAAACTTCTATTAGATTTTGCTAATTTTTCCAGATAGACATCTAATTGAATACAAGACTAATATAATGTGAATTAATCCATGTAGTTTGCCTATGTTTGGTAAATAACACTTGCAGGTTTATGGCATAGAAGACTACTTTTGAGATTATAAGTAATTGAATGGGGTTCTAAAATATTTAAAGATGAACATCATTTTTATATATTATGCTTAGATTTTTTTTTTTTTTTTTGAGCTGAGGACTGAACCCAGGGCCTTGTGCTTGCTAAGCAAACACTCTACCACTGAGCTAAATCCCCAACCCCTTAGAATTTTTTAATATTAAGGTAGTTTAATCTTTTACTATTGCAGCCATGTTCTTTCTTCTTCTTCTTTTTTTTTTTTCTCTCTCAAGACAGGGTTTCTCTGTGTAGCCTTGCCTGTCCTGAAACTCACTTTGCCCATTAGGCTGGCCTTGAACTCAGAAATCCACCTGCCTCTGCTTCCCAAGTGCTGGGATTAAAGGAGTGGTCTACTATCGCCCAATACAGCCATGTATTTTTAACTAAAGCAAATTAAACTTAATTTACTGGAAAGTTTTACTAGATAATTAGTTTGTGTTTTATAACTTTAATTAAATGTATTTTCTTTTAAGACATGAATTTAAGTTACTGCAGTTTTTCATTTTGCAGTATTAGAGAATAGAATTAAGGACTTTATAAATACTTCTTTATTGTGGACATGGAGATTAAATACATATCATTAGTGCTCCCCCTCCCAATTCTGGGATTGGAATCTATGATGTTGTACTTGCTAAATCATGTTCCACAATTAAGCTACATGCCTAGCCCCTAGTAGCTTCTGAGAAGTTGTTTATAAGGATAATTTAAATTCTAAGAAGCAGTAAAATAATGGTATTTGGTATTTAGACAAAATTTTTGCTGTCATGTTTATTGTTAAATTTGTGTCATTGGTCGAATCAAATTTTGAAAACACAATTTCAGCCTCCACCAGTTCATGAGAATATTCTGGAATGAAGTTTCTAGTGCTGTTTCTTTCACTTGTAAAAAGATATATGAAAAATGTACTCTGAAACTTTAACCTAGGTTTTTAAAAGTGTAAGAGGAAAAGGCACTAAGTGTTCCCATTGAATTGCACAGTTAGACAATTTGAACAAAAAGTTTCTGCTTTGTGGATTGTAGACTTGATTTGTAGCTTATAGAAGTGATGGCTTTGCTCAACCTCATCTACCTGTTGGTCATTTCTCTTTATCTACTTTCCTTTGTGTGCTGGCTTAAATTCTTACCATACATTGGAGAGGAATAAATAAATGAGGAGGAATGAAAACAAGTGGTAGAATTTGTGAATGCTTGGCAGGAAGGAGTATAAAAAAATGTTAGCATTTGCCTTTCCACAGTACCAAAAATGATTACTTCCAACAAGACTTGCATTTTAAGAGCAATAACAATTTAGAATGTTGGAAACTGGGTTTATTGTATAGAAAAAAAGTGGAAATTTGTCCAAAATCTTAAAGGTAAGTTATATAAATAAGGTTTTAAATAATTTCAGAATTTCTTAGCTGAACTATAAAATTAAAATAACTCAAGAGTATTGTCAGTTTAGTGGAAACTGAATATATTGCTGGAATATCTCAAGTAATCATGATTGACAGACTTTATAAAGTTGTGTAAATACTCAAATATTTAATGAATTAGTTCCTTGCAGTGCTGATCTAACTAAAGTAGTTCTTCAGTTAAAATTCAACTTGATAAATTGTGAGGTTCTTGTTAAGATTTATTTTTATGTGTATGTGTATGATTATAAGTTGGGTGTGTGTATGTGGGTCCTGCAGAGGCCACAAGAGGGTATTGGATCTTCTGGACCTGGGATTTATAAGTTGTGAGTTGTCCAAGGTGGGTTCTGGGACACGAAGAACAGTAAGGCTCTTAACTGCTGAGCCACCTCTCCAGCTCTACGTATTTTTAAATGTGTTTTTAAAATTAATCTCTCTGTGCAATTTCAAAAGTTTTAAATAACAAAAATGAATCATCTGGTGGGAAAGGTGTTTTAAACTTTTGACTGATGATTTAAATTGTTTTATATGCTTAGATCTAATTCATAGCAGCTAACTCTAGGATTGTGCTAAAAATGTTGTTGGCTTTACTCCTCTGGCAGCATACTTCTTCTTTTATAGTGTTTTATTTTGTAAAGGAGGAAGGAAACAGATCATTGATTCCCTGAGTCCAGGTTTCTTGTTTCAGCTGCCTTTTTCTTGAAGATGCCATGTAACTTGCAAATACATTTAAAGAGGAAGTTGGAATACTGATGTTACCTGTGCTCAGTGTTGGCGCTTTGTGTTTCCAGATTCTTGGCCATTTATTCAGAGAATTGAAATTAAAACCCACACTGATTTGCAAAAGTAGCAAGGAAATTTTATTTAAAGCAAAGCGGTAGAAAAATTTAGCATATACTTCAAGGGAGCAGCCAGCCACCTGAGTGAAAATATTCAAGGCCTCAAGTTGCTGTCTGGGTTCAGGAGGTCTAAAGGAAGGATGGGCTGATTGCTAAGGTTGTAGTTTGAATGGTTCTCTACTTTGATTGATTGATTGATTAGGTCATAAAATAATTTTTCCATTGTGCATATTCCTTCCCATATACATCTAATTTTAGTCATATACAGAGGAATAAAGTGGATTTAGAGTATAATTCCTAAAAAAGATGCAGTTTTGTTTTACTGTTCATGTATACCAAACCAGCCCTGGCTGGATCCGTCCTCTGATCTTCAGACTAGAATGCATTGAGAATACTTTTGAATACAAACTTTCCGAGTTTAATTGTTAGAGTAAAAACTTGTCCCCTTGTTCAGAGAGATACCTTCATGTAGGCCCCTGTGGGTGGGACTCTGAGGTTGCTGATTGCATTGATTGGAGAGGAGTGTGTACATATGTATATTACTAGAAGAGGGGTATATTCGTACCACAAGCCAAGTGGAATCCTGAGTCATTCAGTCAGCCCCTATGCTTTTCCAGTGGAGGCTTAGGAACATAATTACATTTGAGTTTTATTCTGTTTTGGCATCATGTGCCATTGGATGTGATTTTTCCACTGGCGTTTCAGTAACTACCAAGCCACAGACCAAAATCCAAGTCTGATTGTGTGATTGTCAATACTAACTAAAAAAAAATTACCTGCCAGATGTGATGGTGTACTTAGCACTTAGGAAGAGGCAAGAGGATCTCAAATTCAAGGCTGGGATACATAGTGAAGTTGAGTTTAGCCTGCACTGCATAGCAAGATTGTCTCCTAAAAATCAAAACAAAAAATAAAGCCCACATAAAACCACTACTACAGTTTCACAGAAGTGGTTCTATTTGTCATGAGTGCATTTAAAATGACTTGCATACTTGATCTCCTCTTTAGTTAACATTGCCCGTCCTTGGGAAATAAGACTTATTTTCTGGAGATACAAATGTTTTCTTGATTTCTTAAAGAAAAAATGTAATTACCCTAATCTTTGTATTTGTCATGCATGTTTTTTTATGAAAAGCCTCAGAGTCATCACCCCATGAAGTTTTATATTTCTGAGTTAGCTATTTGCTGATGTGTTTTGTTTTACTTTCTATACATGAGTATAATACCAGTTAAGTTGGAGGGTTAGTTCTTGTTGCTGTATTGTGGAGTGCTCCAGTACAAAGAATGAGTTCTTTATCTTTCTATTTCTAGTCACTGGTGTGATGGTATCTGGCAGGTCAAGGGATTCATGAAACATATTAAGTGGATGAATGTGTTAGGATATTTGGTAGGATTACAGAATGAAGAATTACAGTTGATGAAACACAGGTTTGTTATATTTAACAAGTTTATGATTGTGTTTTGACACTCTCACTGTATAGCCCTGGCTGGCTTTACCCTTAAGACTCTTCTGCCTTAGTCTCTCAGGTACTGGTATTATTGCCTTGACAGTGTTTTTGCACTGCATTGCATTGCAAAAATCTCAGTTTTTGCAATGAACAATAGAAGAAAGTAAATATTATCATTATAGATACAGTGAAAATCACTAACCCATTCATTAATTCCAGAATCAGGAGAGCTTTTTGTTTGTGTGTGTTTGAGATTGGGTTTGGTGGTATATGTAGTTCACATTAGGCTTGGCTCTGAACCCATCAGTTTCCACATGTATTAGGATCATAGATGTGTGCTACCATTCTGGGCTTGGAAATTGGGAGTCAGTCTTGAAGTACTTCGGGTACTTTTTTTTGTTTACCTGTTCATTTTCTGAGACAGGGTCTCACCATGTTTCCCTGGCTGTCCTGGAACTTCTTCTGTAGACCAGGCTGGCCTCGAACTCAGAGATCTGCCTGCCTCTTGAGTGCTGGAATTAAAGGTGTATACTACCATTGCCTGGGCAACATCTCCATTTCTTAATGTTTTTCTTTTTAATAAATATTTATATTCTCTGAGAATTTCGTAGGATTTTTTTTTATCATTTTTAGCTTCATCCCTCAACTTTTCTTAGGTTCAACCTCCTTCTCTTGTTTTAAAATTGAATCTTATGTCTTGTTTAAAATTTTTTTATTCATTTAAAAATGTTACAGACTTATAATTTATTTTTAAGTGGATCAGCATTCTCATTTATAAGTATTCTTAAATATTTTAGTTTTCTTTTAGAACTAAAATTTATATAAAAGGTGCAAAATCCAGGGGCACCTGTGACCGAATCCTGTGTCCAAATATAGACCATCTTTCATTAAAAATTTTCAGTTCTTGAGTTTAATTTTGTATTGACCTCCAGGGACATTTAGAGGATTTTTTTCTTACATGAATCAGATGTTTAGAGTTACACATATTTATAAGGTTATGATTCATGGATATATAACATGGAATGATTATATCAAGGTAGTTAAACTATACCTTAAATAGTTCTAACAATTTCTTTATGCTGTGGACACTTGAAACTTTTACTATTACTTGTTTTGGAATGCACTAGATA